TGTTGTATTGACTAATGTATGTTACACTTAATGGGATAGCCGCGTGATCCTACTAGTACGCTGTGGTTGTGTATTGATACTACATTTTCTCTTTCTTGTTGAGTATAGGGCATCTTCAGGCGGCTATTGATAGATCTCAGCTAGGTGACTATTGAGCGTGATCGGATTCAAGGGTGAGCCAGTTCTTTCGAGTTGCCATGGATCTTTCTTGTTTAAGTCCACTCTTTTCGGACTCGGACTACTTGTTTAAGGTGTTTGTTTAGTTTCGGGGTTGTACCCCTTGTTCTTAGACTTGTCGTTAGTAGAGTTTTAGTACAATGACTTTCAGGTAGACTTGTAGTTAGTAGAGTTTTGGTACATTGACTTTCATGTTCTAAGGGTTGTTCTTCCGCATTAGTTTGGTTAAGTTAATTGTTTAAATGGGAACTCCGTATTTTTTATTGTCATTTAAACCTGCTTCTGTACTTTAAATGCCTTAGTTTTCATAAAATTTGTTTGTTTGGGTTGTAGTAATGGTTCTCCCACCAGAGGGTTAGCGTGGGTGCCAATCACGACGGTCTGAGTCGTGACATACAGGTTAATGATAAAATAAATATATCTTTATTAATATATCACAATTAATAGATATTTATTTTGAACAAATTTTTTTATTCTCATATAACAATAATAATTTCTTGACATAACTTAATTTATTATATCCGTCAAAATATTAATAAACAACCATACAATGTTTAAATAAATAAAGAAAAGATAATCCATAGATATAAATTATAGAGTAATTAACAGATTCAAATTAAAGCATCTCCATAAACATAATAATAATAATAATAATAATAATAATCTAATTAGCTTAAACGATGTCATGAATTTTAGTAACAGCTGCCATGAATTTAGTATCGTGTCCCATGGCATGCAAAGTTTGAGGGGTCAAACAAGCTTGAATGTTGATACTTGCTTGTTCTGCACCACAAAAGATTGTAATTTTCCCATCATGTTTGTTGACATTTGTGAATTCAGCTCCTTCATTGCTGCAATCAACAAAGAAAGATAAGGTGTCATCATCATCACTGTTTTTACTAGCAACAAGTCGACCCGCGAGGTGAAATTTTTAGGCGATTCATAATAATTTCTGATGATTCTTTATATTGTTTTGGTTTACGAAAAACTAATCCTTTTTGGATAGGATCGGAGTTGAAGATCCCATGGAGTTAACTCAATTTTTTATAATGTATAATACTTTTTATATATTTTTTAAATGATATATATATATCTTTATGATATTGATATTAGTATTATAATAAATTAAATTTTATTATTTTAAATTTATGATCTCAATTGTCAGCCTATGCCACATTATAAAATGTTCCAAAGTAGATATCAGATTTACAAAAATGTCGATGCCAGCTAAAGTAATAAAATAACATCTAAGGACATGAACCTATATATGTATATATAAAGCTGAATATTGACAATTTGATGTGGCATCTCTCTATGACCAGTATTTGTATTCATCTTTTTTTTTCCTTTTTTTGACATTTTATCTTGTTTTGTATTTTTTATTTGTATTTTTTTAAAAATGTATTTATGTCATACCCGATTAATTATGCCCTTTATAACATCCATTACACTAATATAGATTTAAGTAAATGAAAATGGAAGATGAAAAGATAAAAACTATTCATTTTTTATAACTGTTTATAATTATTTAGCCTATAAAATAAAAACAAAATAGTTGAGCATTTGTAACAAATAAGAACAAATTTCTTCACTTTGGCTCTTCTTCTTCTGACGATAATGATCAATATATGGTATCAACTTTTGTCGCTAAGATGTCCATCAAATTTCTAGGTCATGTGACTTTTTTAACAAAAGAGAAAGAGAGAATATCTCATTATTCTTGTGAAGACATTGATGTAAAGAAAGAGATTATGTAACAAAAAATTATTTTCAAAATAAAAGACTTTTTGAAAAAATGTTTATTCCTCCTACAAGGAGAGAAAATTCATTGTGGTTGAGAAATTTATAAGAAGCCTGATTAGTGTTTCAAAGGGTAAGAAAAATTATTTGGAGAAAAAATCATTCTATTTATGGAATTCGTATCAAATTAGGAGGAGAACAAGCAAAAATTTATTTTGTGATTTAAAAAGAGAGAAAATTAGATATTATTTATTTCAATGTCATTATTCTTCTAATTTCTTTCTTCTTTAATTTTGTCTTGATTTTTTGTATGTTTAATTAAAGGTTTTTTTCTTATTTATCTTTAATTAAAGTTTATATATATTTTCTTAAAAAAGAATTTAAAAAGATGATCATATTTAGTTCCTTTCCTCATCAATGCTATTAATCTCATAATTAGTGTTATTTATATTATTTTCTTAATTACTTTTTTTTCTTTCATTTAATTATTTATTTGAAGAAATTAGTTATTATAACTTTATAAGAATTACACATGTATTTTTACATAATTGATTTGTTATTTTTAAAATTTTTGGATCATTCTTCATCTTAAAGTTCCTATCTATATGTAATAATAAAGCTAAAATAGAAAATGTGGGGTGACACCTTCTTAGCAATAGATACTTATTTATTCTGATCAATGTTTCTGACATTTTTTGTTATTTTTTCCTTAAAATAATTGTTGCCTCGATTTTTAGTTTTAATTTTATTTTTTTAGCATTTTCTAATTTTAAAAGACTGAAAAATTTATATTGAAAATTTACAAAATATAAAAAATGATTTATTTAACTCCTATCATCATCAATACTATTATTAATTTGTTTTACTTCTTTTCTTAATCTTCATTTCATCATTAATGTAATTTATATCATTTTCTTACAGACACACATATATATATATTTGTGACATTTCTTAGAAGTTAGGATTACTATTTATTTAATTTTTAAAATTTTTGAATTCTTTTGCCATACTAAATACAACATGTTTTATTATAATTACATTCAATATAGTAAACAACATGTTCTAGGAATTAAAACAAAATTATCATTTCAGAAA